GTACAGTTTTGTGTTTGATTCTCATAATAGTTTAGGGAAAAATAAGCTTCTGGTTAAAAAAAAAGACAAGAAGACAATGGCCATTTTTGTTTTTGTTTTTGAATGGTTTGTGGTGGGTTGAGTTGTTTTTAGTATGTCTCCATCAATGGGTTTTTGTAGAAGGCAAAAATGGAGCTTGGTGCTTGGTAATGAAACAGTTGAATTTTGTTGTTGTTGTTTTCAACCTCACATGGAAAGCATTAGGTTTGAATGTGGGTTTAGATGGTCTCTTATTAACCAACCGGAACGTCTTTGCGTTCAAGTTCACCTCTAAAGTTGTGGTGAGAAACAAACAAGGCAATAGTATTTCCAGAATTGTCTTCCTTGTTGCTTGTACAATTTTTGCGAACATACTTTTGTTTGACAAAGAATGGAGTGGATTATTATCAGAGAATGGAGTGGCAAATTAAAGGCGGCTCCTGTATGGAACTCAAACAGAGATTGTCAAGCCTAGAGCTGGAACTGGGGATCAAATGCTATATAATCAATTTAACCACTATGGTACCAATACATGCTATATCAGAGAATGTATTGATTCTCGTTCGTATTGGGATGGCTCTCTAGTTCTATCCCTAAGATATATGAGCAATTTAACAATTCTACTAGGGGTTTTTCCTTTTTCTTCGTACTAACTTGATATTCCTCATAAATGTTATAATAAAGAATGATTATCTAAAATAGATTTTATCTCTAAATGAAACTTATCTCAAATTGTACCGACTTGGTAAGTCGGCCTTTCTTTTAATATTCATTTCCCTTGCCTATATATAGGCAAACTCTTATGCAAATGGAAGATGAACGGAAGAGAAATTAAACCTATTCACTAAAGCTTTAATACTTTTTATGTTTACTCTGGTTCTCTCTCTTATTACCACTTATAATACATAGCACATATTTATCCGTTTGTTATATAGTTATAACACGTTATCAGCACGACCATCTCTATATCCATATGTACCGTCTAATCCTATATCATTCCATACCGAAAGGGTGAGATTTTAATTTATGTGTTATTCAATCTTAATTTAAGTTTATGTATTATTTACTGAGTGGTAGGCTCTGTCTCCTCATGATATTATAGTAGGCTCTGCATCCTAACTATCAGTGGAAAAGCCATATAATAGGCTATGTCTTTTCCGAATTGATCATTATTATGGTAGGCGCTGCCTCCTTGATCAATTTAAAATTTTATGTCTCCATCATCTCATGGTAGGCTCTGCCTCCTTGATTAT